ATTTGAAGCAGAGAGGAGCACTGAGCAGACTGACCAGAGTAATCCCCAGTCAGTCTGCCTGGTGGCATTAATCATATTAATCGTCAAGTGCCAAAAAGTAATCGATTAATGTTTTTCTGACGATTAATTGCACACAATACGATTATGCCCAACCCTAATGACTCAGCAAAACTAAGATATCCAGAAATGTAAATATGACTAGTCATGATTCATTTCAAGATATTTCCAAATGAATTAAAAATACATTATATTTATATTATATAGTTATATTACATAAACTAGGCAGCTTTTCTATTCGTTATTTTGAGGCAGAATAATATTCAAGGTATTTTAAATAATTATTATTAAAAGTCAAAAAGTCACAGATGTACGTAGATTTTTAGCAGAAAGTTTTTAAGGTATTTTAGCCACTAACCTTACTTAAATCTGCTCTCAGTGGTCTGTGAAAGGTCAGTTCAACTCATATTCTTGTTTTTAGCATGATTTTTAGCTGCAGCTCAACATGAATTAATAAACATGAATAATTAGTTGTCCGTCACTGAAGTCACTCCAAATGTTATTGTTTTGCAAACCCTGAGGATATGGTTCCTTCAGATTAATCAACATAAACAGGACTGAAAACAAATGAAAGCACCTTTTTGTTTCCAGATATAATCGTCCAAAGGAAGTATCATTTTACCGTTACTTCCAGTTGTTTGTCAAACAAGTGTTTTGAAGGTATGATTCCATTTTTAAGAAGCTGGTTGAGGTTAAGRTGCTGTAAACACTGACTAGTTACAGCAGAGGAACTTTTAATTCTACAAGATCTCTTTGTTTAAACACAATGTTAGTCTCAAAAGTCTCTTTAGGCCTGATTATTTAAGTCTGTCAGAGAAAAGAACAAAACATTTAAATGTATATAAACAATTTTTAATTATGACCCGTGAAACTGTGCAGTGTTGGACACATAAAAAACAGGTCTGACCACAGCTTTGAAGTTATAAAAATGGTTTGTTGACTGTTTTTTATTTATTCAATTGAAGTCTTTTTAATAAGCTATAAGCTAAAATGAAGTGAACCGTTGTAGATTCAGCTGAGTTCAAACATTTGAAAACAAAAACATTTAAATCAGTTCAGAAACAGAGTTATTCACACTGATCACTGGTGTTCCTTGAGTTTGAGTCGTTCATCACAGCTGGCTCGTTTGCAGGACATGTTGGACATCAGAGGCCCGGTCTGTGACGTCTGGATCAGAAGCAGGAGGCTGAATGTTGGGCGTAAAGTTTTTCTGCTGTAAACAAAAACAAAAAAAAAACAAAACAAAAAAAAAACCAGGCGAGGAATAAAAGAGGAGTTCAGTCGGACAGGGAGGGTGAGGGCAGGGACCTGCCGCTGGCGGGGCTGTTGCTGTAGATGTGGGGGTTGTCTCTGTCTCTGTCTTTGTCCCGGTCCTTCTCTTTGTCCTTGCTTTCRTGTTTGTGCTTGTGTTTGTGTTTGTGCTTATGCTTCTTCTTCTTCTTCTTGTGCTCGTGGTGGTGATGGTGGTGGTGGTGGCTGTGGTCGCCTCCGTGCTTGGACGATGAGGAGATGGTCTCCTTGGAGAAGGAGGGGGCAGGCGTGCTGGGTATGGACAGCAGGGTCTGYTCCACCAGTGGGGGCTCTTTACCTGAGAGGGGGACGGCAGGGGAGAATTAAAACAGAATCATTGGGATRATATTTCAATGTAAAAGTAATAAAGCGACATGTGTTTCTGCCATCTTGTTTTATTTTGAAAGGATTCCAAAGTGCAAACTAAACTCACAGGTGAGCTACGAAAGTTGGAGCATTAAAGGTGTAATGTCACCACTGAATGTTTTGGTTAGCTGTGCCCATCATCATAGATCAGAGATTCTTAACCTATGGGCAGCGGCCGAGCRCCACCTTGAGGGCCTCAAAAGAACAAAAGTTTTTAAATTTGGGCCGCAGGACCGCACTGATTTTAAATAAGGTGCAATACACTTTCTCACCACTAGTAGCAGTAGTGCGCCACTCAGATGTTTAACAAATTTTTTTATATGTAGAAGAAGAACCTTAGATACCTGCCGAGAATGGAAACTTATTTTAAATGAAAAATAGAAGCAACAATGAAAGTAACTCGTCAAAAAACACCAAAGTTTGTCACTAATATGAAGAGCAGCTTCTGTTTTTACTATGGAATATTTTAAAAGTTCAAAACATTATCAAATACAGTTGCAGATACAACTANGTTCTCGGAAATTCAAGGTAAACTAATGTTTTTCATCTGCTTAGAGATTCTGTCTGCCATGAAGTATTTTAATACAAGTCTCCACTACAGCATGTTCATACATGTCAACCTCTTTGGACGTTTACCTGTATAAAGAGCCTCAAAAATCCGTAAATTTTGCAAAAAATCTGTACAACTCGCACCCGCGAGGGGTGGGGGGTGGGGTGTAGGCTGCGGAGATAAAAGCGCCTGCTGCGAAGCAGGAGGTCAGGAGGTCATGAGAGTGGAAAAGTTCAAAACTTATTTCTAGCGGCAGAACAGGTTGGAAGAAGGCTGTTTGATGTGATTTATTGTTTTTTAAATCATCCTATAGGCTCTGACAGGTTAGATACATTTGAAAATGAAGTTTTGAAAAAGTCCGTGAGATTGCTCTGTATGTCCGTTTACCTGCAAAATGACGTAAAATCCTTATAACTTACGRAAAATCCGTACAAGCTGACATGTACGCATGTTGCACAAAGCTAAATGTGAGGAGTTTAGCGTAGTCGCAAGTACATAAACAACATCAACTATTTACCAGAACCACAACCACACAGGAATCTACAATCAAGACATTTTATGCCTTCTTTGTGCACTTCAGCTTGCTGAAGTAAGTGTTAATGTTTACGTCTAATGTTTTTTTCTTATTATTAAACACGAGTACAGCTGTTATACATGTATTTGAGCATGAAATATGTTAAGTTACTACACTGTATGGTGATTTAATAAAAATACATATACAAAAACATTTTTTAAAATGGCAGTTTTATTATATTTGGGTAAGAGTGCAGCCCGTTGTCGCCCACTGGTAGTGTCAACAAAAAATTATAGCCCATATCATCATTCAAGGTGCCCATTACTGGTGCAGATGTATATTACAAGTTCAAGTATGTGAGAAAAAAAAAGCTTACATCTTGATTGCTCATGTCCCAATACGGTCGCTCGCCATACGACATTACTTCCCACATGACGATGCCGTAGCTCCACACATCACTGGCTGAGGTGAACTTCCTGTAGGCAATAGCCTCAGGGGCCGTCCAGCGAATGGGGATTTTTCCTCCCTGTGGATATGCGAATGAGTATGTGAGCATGAAATACTGGAGGGATGGAACACAGAGACAGAGCCACACACACACACAAGAGGGGGAGAGAAAGGGTGAGAAAAAAACTCTAAGGGAAATGCTGATGCACAACACATGGGTRCATGCTGTAGAACCCAGACACTACTGTATGTACACACACAAGGTTAGTCAACATTTAGACAAAAATGACACATGGAGCTATAAGAAAATTCACCGCAGTCCACAAAGCAGTTGTMTCAGTATTATTTCATACTTGTTTCTTGTAACCTGACGACAAAGTGAAATGTGACTGAGATGTTTGCTATCTCACACCTGCAGTGTTTCTTTAAGTAATTAACACCATCGTTTCCTGTCAGCAGCAGACTTGTCGCACCTTACTGTGCCGGATATTGTTCAAGGTGTTTTTTTTTCTGTCTTTTGTTGGCTTCTTTTGTTTCGTTAAACAAGACGTTGAAACAAATTATTCCATTAGCCTAAATCATAACTTAATTATACCGTCATTTTTTTTAATTTTAAAAAGCACAAACAGCATTTTATGCATGAGTTGTAGCAATTTGTCTAACTTTAAAACAAAGACAAATCCTCCAAATGTCATAAGCAAATAAATGCTTTCCAATAAATTACTGTATGTAATAATGTAAAAAAAAAATAACAACTGAGATTTTAAACAAAAATCTGTGTTCAATATGAAAACTCTCTGTAAGGTCTTTGGAAAATGTAAATAGATTATAATTATCAACAGTAAGCCACGAGGGCTTAAAAAAATAAGCATCTTCAGCAGTAAAGCCATGTGGGAAGATTCTGTGGATTCAGTCGTGAAAGGGGCAAACATCAATAGTGGAGTATTGATGTTAAAGGTTACATGTAGCACATTTAAACACTGGTTTTAAACATTTAAAGTAAAACACRTGCACATGTAATCTATTCTCTAACTCACCAATGAGCTGGTGTATGTAGGATCTGAAGGGTCATCTTCAAGGAAACGAGATAGCCCAAAGTCAGACACCTTACACACCAGATTACTGTTAACCAAGATGTTCCGGGCGGCCAGGTCTCTGTGGACATAGTTCATGTCTGACAGGTACTTCATGCCTGCTGCGATGCCACGTAACATGCCAACCAGCTGGATCACTGTGAACTGCCCGTCATTCAGCTTGAAAAAAAAAAAGACAGAATGACAACATTAGGCTGGATTGTAGATCAAAGTTTCCTTTTTAGAAGAATATGCGGTGCATTTCTGTCTTATTTACCTTTTTATGCTCTCACCTGTCTTCCTATTTTCGGCATCTCTTTTTGCCTTTTCATGAGTGTTACATGTGTCTTACATCTGCCATCTTATCACACTGTTGTCTTTGTTTCCCCCTGCCATCCCATCCCTGATGATTCCTTCTCTATTATACTCCTTGAATTTTTCTCTTTTTTTAATTCTTTGTCATACAATGTATGATTCTATTTTKAGACAGAGACTCATTGCAAACTGAGCTCTTTGTAAATATCTCTAACTTTCTGAATATCAGATTTGGAAGACAGGCAGTGTGGATGGTGTGACTTAATTTAAAGGAGATACGTCAAGCTTTTAAATCCTTCTGTTTCACATTTAAACTATTCAGTTTGGGTCTATGTAAAGTGGAACTGCAAAGATTTGGTCTGAATTCCTCCATATAACTTCACAAGCCCTTCTATCGCCCCTTTTCCGAGGTGCACCTCAGATCGTCATTTTTCAACTCATTGACGCTGTCTCTCTAAATCCAAATAACCCCCCGCCMCCTCCAGCTTCCAGAGTGGTTTKCTGTATGGGATTATGACTTTATAGAGGTGCAGAAACGTTATATTTACAAATTAATATAAAAGTGTCAACAACAAAGATTTGGTCCATTTAGCTTTACATGTTGGAGCCAGAGTCTGACCCAGAGCCAGAGGAGAATGAAGACAACCAAATTGTAGAGTTCAAACCTTATTTGTCATTTCTCTTGCAAATAATTTGACCTGTTAGTTCAGAAAATGTAATAAAAATAAAAAAAGAAAACCTAATAAAAAAATCTAATGGGATGAAAAATATGACCCCCCCCCACCCAAAAAAAAATATAAAGATATCTACACAGCACTGGAAGAGATTAAATTCTATTTTTTGTACTCCTAGAGACTCAAAGTACACAACAAAATGCATTTAATGGTTAAAAAAGTAGATTTTGCATGATTTGTCCCAAATGGTAAGCAAATAAAAGAAAATATATCCATTTTAAGCTGAATGGTGTTATTTGCTAARTAGTTTGGTTGACATTTTAAAACCTTAGCTACTGTGAGGAAACTTTTTATGCATTTCTTCTTACCCTTAGAAAAGAGTCCAGGGCACCATTTTCCATGAACTCGGTCACAATCATCACTGGCCGACTTTTGGTGACCACACCTTCCAGACGAATAATATTGGGGTGGTCAAACTGGCCCATGATGGAAGCTTCAGATAGGAAGTCTCGCCTCTGCCGGTCAGTGTAGCCCACCTTGAGAGTCTTGATGGCCACAATGATCTCCCGACGCCCAGRCAGCTTTAGGCGRCCCCGGCACACCTCCCCAAACTCTCCTGTGGRAGCCCAGGTGAGACAGCCAGAGAAACAGCAAAAAAAAGGTAGAGGAGAGATGCAAGAGAGGGATAATGGAAGAGTGGAGGAGAGTGGGGGGAAAAAGGGAAGAGGGGACAGTTAACTGGTTAGAACCAAGGAGCTAGGGAAGAGGAGCAGGATGTTTGGGGTTGTGGCATCTGCAAGAGAGGCCAGAAATCAAGGCCAATCTTAAGGGATAGTGGTGTGTACAATAACTTTGTATTGTAAGGCTATACAATAGGAAAAAAATATGATGAGTGAAAAGCCTTGTGGTAACAATGAAAAATGTAACAATGAAAAATGGTTTATGTGTCGAAATTAAATGAAATAAGGGTAAAATATGCCAAGTGAAGCTTAGGGACGGTGGAAGGTAGGAGTTATGGATTAGGGAAGTGGTGTTAAGCTTCAGTGATGTTGTAGAAGCGGGAACCGGATGAGGACATGGGCGGAGACAAAAGCTTGGGAGGTTTTGTGGACGCTTTATGTTTAGATTCTATACCAAGCAAGTGCATGAAAACAAAAAAAAATATGCGATGAGAAGTGATTTGTTTTAACATGGGTACAAAAGTGACAAAGAGAAAAATATCAGAGAAGGAAGGGCGAGGGAATGGATGGGCAGAGGAATGGTCAAAGGAAGGGGTACGGGAGAGGAAGAGGACAAGGAAGACAGGTTTGAGGGTTTGTCACTTCAAAGGCGAATGCTGGGAAGCGACGGGTTTCAAGTAGTAGCCTCAGCAGTAGAAGAGCTGTTGTTGCAGTAGTAGTAGCAGCAGTAGTACTGGTAGTAGCAGAAGCAGTGGTAGGGGATTCCCATCTCTACCATCACAGCGTCTTCCATTTTTGCTTAGATTATATATATAAATGTTAAAAAAGCTCATTCTCACACACCATAGTCCTGCAGCTATTAAGCAGAAATATTACTTTAAAATATGTAAAGTACATAAAATATTTCACTGTGTGCAACATCACGTATGAGGGAGTTTCTAAAAGTAGGAAAGGCAACCACATGGTGGGGAGGTGGAAGTGTCATGAACTAGGGTCAAATWTAGTGATCCAACAGAAAACCCTCTTTTATGAGGGTTTTAAGAGGTTCTCAATAATAAAAGTAAGTAGGGTAAAAAAAAACAATCCTGGACTCAAGACAATGTATTATCTGAACTGCCTTGTTGCTGAAAKTTGCTATTCAAATAAACTTGATTGATTGATTATCTTACCTTCTCTTATTATCTTATTATTTATTATTAATTCCTTTATTTAACCAGGTATAACCCCACTGAGATTGATATCTCATTTGCATCTCATCTTAAGCCCTAATCAGATAGATTCAGTATCAAGTAGTTCTGAAAGAAAGAATGCTTAGTTAATTCAAAATATTCTCTAAAAGGTCACAAAGAATGACAATAAAATAGACATGATCCATTTGATAAATGAACTTGCAATACAAACTGTTTGGGTATAACAAAGTACATTATTACACCCTTCACCCTCAAATGAAATTGACTGCTAAGTTCTAAAGCTTTTAAAGAGGAAATTATTTGMACCAATAATGAAATTCACATCTAARAATTCAGGGTCCAGTACAAAATTTTGGTTTTGAAAGGATGCAAAAAAGGATCAATGTTATTATGTAATTTGCTCTGCAGAAGATGAACAAAGACTCCTGCATATTATAAAAGAAAACTAAAGACTTTTCCTAAGAAATAAATTAAATTTTATCAGCAAGGGGTTGTGGTTTTACATTGTCCAAGATATTACATACAAGAATAATTAAAATTACCATTGTTCTTGTTCCAGGATTGGGGTATTTTTTTGAGACAAGTGTGAAATAATCATCCACCAAACAAAGGTATTMCTACTCTAAATGCATGATGCTTCAAAGTGAGTCAGGCTAACTTAAGGAAGACATGACTAATTTAACATAGGAGGGTTCTGAACACAACTGTAAGTCTGGAAAGGGGTTCCTAAAAGGTGACAAGTGTGGTAGGGGTGGGAGGAAGAAGAGGACTAATGATGAATTGAGTGAAAGTACCGCTTGGTGTGAAGTCCTCTAATGGTATGGCCTGGAGGTGACTAGCTGTCTTCCCCCTGTAGCTCAGGAGCTTTGGTGGGTTACCTGCGCCAATGACCTCCTCGATCTTCACGCAGGACACGTCAATCTCCTTGGCAAACTCGCGCACTGCTTCATTGGGGTCCTCATAGGTGAAAGGATCAATGTAGACCTTCATTCCTGGCGTTACTATTGGGGATTCAGTGGTAAGGACAGGAAAGTGAATATTTGCTGCCAAACACATGTATTGATTAAAAGCAATTTGCTTCTTTTTATTCTTTCTATAAATAAGGAATTTATAGMAAGGGAGTAGCTTGTCAGTTATTTCTACATGAAAGCATTAGAATATTTGTTTCTAAAATGTGATGTGAAGCAGAAAGAAGAAATCTCAACAAAGACACTTACTATACTGCTGTAGTTTCTCAGTGTACTCTGACTCTGAACCATTTCTCTGCTTTCTGTTGACAAAGATGTAACACAAACTAAGTCAAATGAACTCAGTGGGGGGGTACAAATACAGCAAAAGAACAAAGGCAGGAAGAGAAAATAGATCTCTTCAAATTCTTAGAYGTTACATCAGATACTGTCACGTGATGATGTGGCTTGGTGAAAATGTTTAGTCTACTGGAAGCAGGGAATACATTGTTAAAGATTATATCAAGGCCAAGTGGGACCATGATTCATACATGGGAACTGTAATGTAAGTCTAAACAGAAGAACGCCAAACTATTGTCTGATAAAGCAAGAGGAAGCTGTTCACGCTCAGATCCACCAAAGTGAGTAGCTGAGACAAAGACAAGTCAAACAGCAAGCTCAGCTGTCTTGTCTTCTTCTCCTTATGGGCATCCCATAACCTCCCAATTCAATCTAAATCTTGTTGTCTGCACAAGATATCTGCTTTWCAGAATTTGTTCCATTCCGTTCTTTCTTTAGATTAAAAACATGTTTTCTCCCGTATATACACTTTTTGTTTTCTTCAGTTTGTATCCTCAYCTTCCGGAATATGTCTTGTCTGCATTGTACTGGGGGGTGGGGCCACAGATAAGGGACTGGTTTGTTGAAACTACATGTCTGCGTGCCTTCATTGTTGTCTAACGAGTAACCAGGGGAAAAATGCTCAATGGTGATTTGCATTTTATTTCAAATTCTAATTTTCGTCTGGTATATGCAGGAGCTCCGCACATTCTGTATCACTACTATTTTCTTCGTCCGTGGCAGTCTGAGCAATGGCTCAGCCAAGACTCTTGGAGAAGCACAATGTAGCTGTGTTAAAATAGAGGAGAGCAAAGAGGCAGGAGGGAAAATGAGAGGGGGGGATCAGGGTGATTATTATTCAGTCTAGCGTGACCGATGCCCACGCTTGTCAGTCGCTGCCTGAACCGGCACGTAGTGGGAGATCGGTGGGCGCCAGTCGGCAGCGGGTGCCAACCTCTCGCACATACGCACGCGCTCACATTGCATTTCCTGCTTGACAAATGAGTCGTATATGGATAAATGACTGAGTTAGACCCAGCTGATGCAGTATCAGCCTTTTTGAAAGGTGTGAGCAGCAATTCACATCTTCTTAGTCAATTGGGCTAAGCCGACACAGACACWTTTGGGATCTTAGGGGGTCAGGCAACCACACAGTTGATTTAAAGTGCTGGGCCATGAGGCGTRAGGGCAGGCCTATCAGACTCAACAGCTGCTATACCATGCTGTGTCCAGTGAGCGAAAGAGCCTTTTGGCCAAAGCTGTTTACTATTCGGAGATTCCGGAGGCTAATCTGGCATTCAGCGGCCTCACAGGTGGCAGAGCAATCCACTGAGACTTTACTGAGGTAGTTKGGAGGACATGCAAACAAAGTTGACATGTGAAGTGTTTTGTTTCCTTCAACTCAAAGGAGAAAAAAATCATCATGCACAAATGGTAATTTAAGCCCCTGCTGAGAGAAGTGTTTTGCCACACGATCACCTATTACCATCACCACTCGCCACTGGTCATTATACTTTTTAAGGAGTCATGTTCTAACCTGAGGCAGACAATAGCGATGACCACAACGGCTATAATGAAGACCAAGATGGCTGTGATTGATCCAACGATGAGAGGCAGCTGCTCCTGCCACGACTTTGGAGGATCAGCTTTGGGTGTGACAAGGAAAGCATGGTTGAATTTGAAACTAGTCACAAATAAACTTTACAGTCGAAAGCAAATATGTGTTTTATTTTAAAAGCAGTTATTAATGTCAAGAGAAAGTATCGTATATCAAATTCTTTAAGGAACAAAAATCTGTATCTATCTACTCCTCTGGAGTGTCTAAGTAGATGAGTAACGTACTTTGCAGGTTGGTGCTGAAGTCTGCTGGGCTGCTGTAACGCCCATAACCAGCCACTGTTCGGGCACGGACTTGTACCACATAAGGTGTACCAGCCTTGAGACCTTCAATGCGGGCGTTGCTCCGTTGGGCAGTCATGGTATGGGCAATGGCCTCGCCCTGATCCTGCACACATCAAAACAAAACAAAACAAAACAAAAAAGATGATGACGAACATCAACTCATATTCAATATTCTCCTATCTCTAATCTTCCAACTTCCCCAAAAGAGTTTATCAGTTTAGCCATGCAAACAGATAGAAGCAAAAAAAAAAAAAGATAAAAGGGAAAAACATTCATAGARACAAATTGTAGATGGTAGGTGGATCTGATGGTAAAGATATAAAGTGATACTTCCTCTTTACTTAAGCTAGATCTACCCGCTGATGGTTCATTCACCAAATCTGTTTCGGACCCAACTACGAATGTGCCTAGATCTTTCAGATTTGATCACCAATGCTTTAGTTCTGGTTTCTAAATAACTGATGCTATATAAATGTAAATAGTTTGCGGAGTCAGAAAAAATGTGCTTTGTCAAGTAAAGGAGGTAGAGTTACAGTAGCCAACCATATCAGCCAAAACACTGTGAGAACCATATTTAAAAATCTAATTTAAGAATACCATTTACAAATTTGTTTATAAACATTATTGGGAGCTTTTTATAGTCATCTGGGTTTTAAAAAATAGCATGTTTAAATACAGTTTTAGCTTCATTTGTAAATGCATTTCTATGCACAGTCCAAAATGCTGGTCAAATAAAAAAATAAATGTGGAAAAAACAGACAGATATTTAAAACAGAATGTCCTCTGCAAAACTTCAGAACAAACTTGTGAGTGGATAAAAAACTACTAGAAGAGATGTTTAAACTCAAATTATTTTGAATCTGTGGTGGCTCTCTGGCTGAAAATATAAAATTTGGGCTGAATCCGACATAAAACTGGTTCAACTACTAACCTTGAACCAACATTTAAAGCACYTTGTTAAGAAAGGGCGTTCTGAGCTCCTAGAAAAAAAATAATAAAGAAAAATTCTAGTGCATAGAATAGAGAGGAAGGGGAAAAGAAAGAGGGCAAGAGGGATTCAGAAAAGGGCATAGAATAAGAGAAATCTGGGAAAGGATTGGGAGGAGAGAGGAAACAGAAGAGAAGGGGAGGATTAGGTGATGAAAAGAAGGGAATAAGTCGTGGAGAATTCTCATACAAGAATGGAAGTGGTGACTTGCCTCACAGCAACCATGTGCTTATCACTGGAGGCATTGTTTTTCCTCATTTACAGAAACACAGATGAAACTGAGAGCATGCTAGTCAATGAAATTGGATTGAATTAGTGGCATTCACTGACACTGCTGCTTACCTTCTCATGGTACTTAATCTCATAATCCAGAATAATTCCGTTGGGTTTCTCTGGGGGAAGCCAGGACAGGCTCATAGTGCTCGCTGTGGCCGCCATTAGGTGGACTGTGGGCACTGCAGATGGAGCTGCAGAGAGGAGAAAAAAAAAACATTCAAGGAAAAACTTGCTTTACTTATTAATTTGTGTGTGTGTGTGTGTGTTACACATTTTGAAGTTCTATGTCCTTTGTGAGAACAYTGAAACCCAAACACAAAGTCTAAGGCTGTGAGCTTTGTGAAAAGCTGCGGCCATTAGTTAGTATGCAGAACCATTCCCTACTAATCCTAAAAGTCTCCCTCCCAGTGTGCCAGGGGCAGTARAGGAGACTCTCCTGTGATGGTAAAGAGAATCAAATGTTAAAGCTGATCAATAAGTTTCTGGTGCAGCCATTTCCTGTCATGAACCAGGCAAGGTTAAGGAAAAACCAAACAAATATAGTGTAAAATAAGCGTTTTAAATCATATAAACATGTTTGCTGTGTGAGATAAAATCTTCACAAAAACATACATTGATGTTTTTATGAACATGCCATCCTGGTGTACCTAAAACACAATGCTTCCCATGCTTTGTTCACGTGTGCTTATTAAAAACCAAGTGCCATCTGCCTACATGACAATTATTTTTATTCTCACAGTTCAGTCTTGTTCAGAATCTCTGACTCTCTCACCGCTGTCTACTGCTTTTGTCTCATAACTTCCACTGTCTATCTTCAGAGGCATTTTGACTCCAGAAATAAAGTTATAGACTATTTCCTTTGAGGACCAAAATAAAAACATTGTCACTGTTTTAGTTAAAAACTTTTCTAAATCCATCAAACCTTCCCAAACCACAAATTGTATTTTCTTTCTATCATTACTGATTGCGTTTTTGACCAGACTTCCCTCTGTTCTTCATCTTCTTTAGGTACCCGAAACTCCACATCCCCTACTTTATCCCTTCCTAGCCACCCCGCCTTTCATTTCTTCTGTTCATGTCTTTCTTTCTCTTGCAGATGACAATACTTCCTAGGCAAAGTCCCTGGTTACTCTAGCCGAGGGATTAGAGGCCCTCCTCTGGGAGAAGATGTTGCAGTAACCATGGAGGTAGCCCCCGGAGCTTATCGCCACCCTTCGTATTTATTTTGGTTCTTAAAAGGTGAATGCACATGCAGGGATTGTCGTGAGACTACACAAATAGATAATCTGATCACAGATGATGCTCTCTTGCCCTGTCCTTTCCCTCTAACCGCTCTCTCYGAACCCGGCTGACACCAGGCAGCTATGGGTGGACACTCATCCCTGTTAGACCAGCACCAGACCCCCTCATAAAACAATAAGGCCCTCACATAAGGGGCCTGTGGGGCCTTTGGGTCCTAGGTCCACAAAGAAGCAGCATTCCAAAAGCATCTTTTAGAAGCAGGAACGCAAGGTTAGAGGTGAGGAGGACAAGGCCACGGAGACAGGAGAGCGAGGGAGGGGCAAAGCATAATCTGTGTTGTTGTTGTCTGAGCTGAGCGAGAGAGCAAATTTAACATAGTGGCTAAACACAACTTAAGAACCCTGGGAGACTTTCAACAAAGAGACCACCTCTTCAGAACAAAAATACTGAGCAGGCTTAACACCTCTGGAATTTCTTGAGGTCATTTATAGGGGTGTAGAAAAATATCATTACACTGAAATATTGCAATATTTCATTTCCCAATACTGTATTAATTCTCTAAAGCACTGTATCAAGTTTTAATTAAGCCTTTAAAAGCAAACTTTCATGCCAGCGGCTCATTCTTGTGTTGTAATTTAGTCTCCATCCACTAGCTGGCAGCAGTCAGCCAGCCATTTAGCTCCTCCACTCCTAAAGAGAGTGTAACGCTAGCTCAAACATTAGCATTGTGAGTAAAAATTAGCACTAAGTGCTGATGGGCTGAGTCTAAGTGGATGGACGCTGTTTCTACCAACTGCAGTGTGCGATCAGCGACGTCCTGTTACTGCAGACAGGCAGGCATTTTCTAGCGCCCCGAGCTGAAGGAGGTCCCCGAGGGACGGTACCGAAGTAACCAAATGATATCCTRTTTTGACCCCTGTGTCATGACATGTATCATATTGATGTTATAAAATCTTCTCAGGTTCTTCAGCCAAAAATAAAATCCAATGTTCTCTACTTATTCAAAATCATCCATCCATCATGTCGGGGTCACCAAAACTGTAAGAAAATTTAGTGTTCGTTAACGGAAATCGAGACGAAACCACATAAATGTTGAACAGATTTAAATGTGAAGAGAATGGGGACCATACAACACCAGTGACTGGAAATGAACTGAGGTTTAATGCTGTCAGTGCAAGCAGGAAACCCACGCTGAATCAAAMCCRGAAGTCCCGGCTATAAGTACATGTTCTTCAGTGCCTGGTACGCCCACTACTGGCCTACGGCTGAATCGCAGACACTCTGAATAGCAATGCTCACCTACTGTTTTATAAACAGTTTCTTATGTGTTGTGATAATGTTTTGGGAATGTATCTAAGCTATTTTAATCAAGACATAACAATAGTTAAACAATGGATTATAAAAGTAAATACTTAAAAAGGAAAACTACGAAAATGGTGTAGTGCTTTTAAAATCAGTKYATGACTAATAAATTTCATCAATATCATGAAATTCTTGCCAATACATAGCCATAGTCAAGGTGTATACCAAACCCAAAAAAAAAAAAAAAATCAAGAAAAAAACCCTTAAATCTAACCTATACGTGCTTTTAAAAAGAAATCATAAACTTTGAAAACGACTTTAAAATCCGAACAGGAACTACTTCTAATCATTTATCACTGACAGGCCTGGAGCTTGGTTTCAATCAATTATTTCATTTCAGCACTCTGCCCTTTTTTCACACTTACTATATTGACCTATTTACCGCTGTTCCTCAGAGCTGAAGGAGCAGTGGGTTGGAACCAGTGAGCTGTTAGAATACTGAAGATTTAACACTTTGAGTACATACTGCCTTGCTATTTCTATTTACAGCAGTGTTAGCAGAGAGCATGCTGTGGGTGTGTGGAAAAAAGGCCCCTTTCTGTCCTCGTTCAAAAATGTCTTCCTCCTCAATCAGTGTTGAAAAAGGGAAATGTGTAACATACTCCTACATGCTTGTAAGGGATTGATCTCTGCTTCTTAAGCCCAGAGTGTTTTGTTTGACAGCCTTTGTCTTTTTCGAGACTTCGGAAAAAGTTGAGAAGGCCTACAAGTTCAATATYGATCTCTGAAAGGCAGTTATACCTACCAGCCTGATTTGTGGTGATGTTCACAGCGGAGAACTGAGGTGTATAGGGGCTCTTGTTGGAAACTCCATTGACCGCCTGGATTTCAAAGCTGTACTGTGTGTGGGCTTGCAGGTTACGGACCATCACGCGACGCAGTGTCAGGCCCAGGTGGCGCGGGGAAATGTCCACGTTGTCATCACACCGCGAGCACATTCCCCGCTCGGGAAGGCACTTCTTACAGATGACGTTATACARGACGTCTTCGCGACCACCCAGGTCACGAGGCTCGCTCCATTCCAGCACCAGCGATGTTTCGTTAACGCTGGAAATGACACTGCGCGGGGAAGATGGGACCGCTGTGAAAGGGAGGTAAGAGCGTTGATGAGAAGAGGAGAATGGGTTTGGGAAAGAGACCAAATTTAATCTTTTWGCACAATAGGTGTAAAAATTGTCTTGGTGACAGTACAGTAGAATCTTTACAATRGACAAGAAGTCATATTGAAAAAAAAGCACAGTTTACATATCATTATGCTGTATAGGCATATTTTCATTATTCCATAGCTGTTATCAGCACAATTCATGACCCAGTAATTTCCTTTGTGTTGTGGTATTAGTACGTTTCTCCTGAATTAACTGGAATATTTTATTCCTTCCACATAGCAAGAGACTGCTCCAGCAGTTTTTCAGTAAAAAAGGGGGCACGGGTTTAAATTTGAATTGCATGCTTATTTCCACTGTGAGTCTGTGTATGTGTGAAGTGCTGCAGGGAACGGGTAAGACAAACTATTGCCAGAGCCTTGGCAATTCTTATCCAATTAACRAAGCCTTATCTTGCACTGCGCTGTGGGAGAATCAGACCCCCACCCTTGCAGCACACACAAAAAGAAGAGAATCTTGTTCTCCCTTCACTATTTGAATGAATTAGCTCCTACGTCTGCATGTTTGCTCTTAATGAAGGCACCGTTATGGGAAATATTTCTCCACTGTCTGCCTGTAGAGAGGCAGCAGTCCCAACAACACAGACTTTACAGGCAGATGAGRGAGGGGAGGCTTGGATGATGAAGTTCTGATAATGTTGGGAAAGTAAGCAGCCTTGTTTGCTGTGTGTGTGAGACATGGTGGGAACGGTGTCCTTCAAGAGCTTTTATCAGCCATCGACAGCCCCCGTTCAAACAAGGAAGCTGGGAGAACATTAACTAGACCTCTAAACGTTTTGTGACTGACACCAATACCCATTTGAACAAATAAGAATGCAAAATAAGCATCTCATATTAGAATATGGCCAAATAGCATTTTAACATTTGAAAAGTCTTCACTTACTTGTGCAGGGGGAGTCTGCAGAATCTGTGTCTGAGCGRTAATAACCATTTCGACAGGAGCAAACGCTAGCTGCTCCAGAGGTTGCTCGGCTGTTGGCTGGACAAGGAAAACAGGGGCCCTCTCCTTGTTTGAACTTGAATTTGCCAGGGCTACAAGCTGAAAATAAAATGTACATTGTAAATTTTAGACAACAAATATTAATAAACTGGAAATTATTTCTTGTAATTTCATCTCTTGATCAGCCAATTTTGACAGTTTGGAATAGCCTGCATTTATACTGCGATAGTTTCCCAGGAACATAKTTAAATTCTGCACCACAACAAATTTACTACGTTACCTTCAGTTGTTATGAAAACGCTGTATCAAAAATAAATTTGACTTTGCATCATAGCCATCTAAACACCTTGAAATTGGCCTATGTCTCTTAAAGAGCCTCCTACCATTTCCAACACTCCCACTTCAGCACATCTTCACAAAAATGCTTTGGGGGAGGAGTGCTCTGTGAGGACTGCGTTTCAGGGAGGAGCTTTGTGTAAATAGGCGGTGCTTTGTACCAGCAAGTGTTTAGGTAGCTCCACATGGCTACCACAGGCGATTCAGGAATTTAGCAAACGTGTCAAACATGAGTCAAAGCAACACCCTGGGTATGTTTTTAATGAGGGAATGACATTATAAAACAATATATATTTGTACATATTAAACAGAGGTGGAGGCCTCCGTTTTCAGTTGTCCCCCTCCTACAGCGCTGCCATTGGCAGTATCACTCCACCCCCTGTTAACAATAGGTGTTAATTAGGTGTGAACGATAGCCATGTGATGTGAGTATCAGTCACATGGAGGCAGGACTCAAAAGCCTGAATTTTGCCTGAAACTCTCAGACTGAAGAAGTCTCTTGGAAGAGAGACGAAACGTTTCATTAAAGAAGAACCCGTCCAGAGGACCTATACAATTTTTTTCTTCCTTTTACATTATAACAGGACATAAAGTCCAAAAAAGTGGATTTTACTGAATACCCCCACTTTAAAAATCATTGGTGCTTCTAAGCATTCACAATAAACATTACCATATTCATGGTAGCAAAACATTATTTATGATTCAGGATTTTTCATGCATTATTATTCTGTCATTGCAAACGTAATGCTCGCATGAAGAGGTCGTCAACCAGCAATTTGTATACAGCCACTTTTGCCTAAGTTGTCTTTTAGAAATGGATGTCACCAAACAAGGGACATGTCACATAAGTCAATGTGTCAACATAAATCTTCAAACGATAAGTTTTTTTTCTCAAAGAAGCATGTTTTTGTCATTTAACAGCCACAACGTAGCTTTACCTTAACAGGCTCTTGATTAAGCAGTGCCTCATTATTTACAGGAAAAGACTGTTACCCTTTGAGAAAGACCTATCTCCATTTATAGCTGTTGTTTTGGAAGTTTATAACTCTAGTGATAAGTTACAGGCACACAGGATAAGAGAAACAACAACACTGTGATCCAGAACGTTTTGGCAAGGCCTGCATCTTTCATAAACTGTCTCGTTAAAAGATGAATGAGTTTGCCGCAACGCCTAATAAACGACAGCGGCGTGTAGAGCAGGCAACGTTTACTAGGACCAGTTGATTAGCTGACCCACTAGTGTGGAAGACCGTCAGTGTCAAGGACAAACGACAAGGTTTGATAATTATCACTTAGCTTCTGTGCTAGATTTACGTTCCCTGCTGAAAAGTAAACACAAGGCTGAAGGTCAATTTTATAACAGACCAATGGTTAAACAGACTGCTCCTGTTCTCTTGCTCTAAAACTTCAATATTAGTTTAAAACCACCAGGTTTGCTGCCTTGTGTACACTAGTACTAAGTGTATTTGTTCTTCCACCATTAATCAGAGTCATCCACACCGCTGACTCACAGGAAGTACTGCTTGATAAACAGATAAGGATTCACCTCTAGTTTTACCGGTTGGCAGGACAGCGTCTTCGATTAGTATCAGGACCCATGCAAAGTTCATTTAAGTTCACCAAACACAAAGTAAACTAAAAGACATCTCTCAATTAACGGGGGATGAATTATTGTGTTATTTTTAACATGGTGGCCTGACCGCAGATGTTCAGGGTGCATTTCCATTAAAAGAGGCTATTTTTCTTTTTCAGGGGGGGAAAAGAAAGAAGGTTGAAAGTGCTGATCAATCACTTCCAGTGAGTAAAGGGGTCATCCTCCTCCTTTCATCCATTTTTCCCTGAGAGTAACCATTAAAGAATCAAACAGCAAGACTGACAAGTGGGAGAGGAAAAAGGTGGAGTGGGGAAGTGGAGGCATGGAAAATGCTAATCCTGTAGCACCCCCCCTCCCCACCCCGCCCTCTTCCTCAGTCCCCTGTGTCTTATCCTCTCATGCAGAACATAGCGCTTAAGGAACTGATTAGAATGTGTGCTGAAATTGGAAAGTGTGAGGCATGAAGAAAGTAAAGAATATCGAGGGTGAAAAATGTGCAGCAAATGAGTGGAGAGGCAAAAAAGGTGGTGGTGTGGGGGCGGGGGGGGTTCATCGATAAATATTAATGCTGACATCCCAACTGTATCTCTGGTGGCTTATTAATGAGAGCAACGGCCTTCGACTTATGAAGGAGTTGAAGAAGCAACGGTGAATACTGGAAGAAGAACAGAAAAGCAGAGGGAAGAGGGGCTGCAATAAAAAAGGATGAAGCAAAAAAATATGTGTGCAGTCAGTGAGGAGTGGCAGAGAAGGGATGAAGAGAGTGGACCTGAGGAGAGGTGACATGAAAAAAAGAAGAAAGACGGAGATTAATCCTTTGTGGCTTTCAGTGATTAGAGAACATTTTATCAGTGGCCAGAGCTTCAACCTTGAGCTGCCATATGCAAACAAATGAGTTTTTAACTACATATTAAATGTTTTGGATTTAATATTCTTTCCCTCTCCCACATATATACTCCCTTTTTATAAAAGTGAGCACATGTATCAGTATCAAGGGTTTTCTAGAAGTTGTTACTGCAAAGTATCCACTCTTTCTCTGTCTGATCACAAATATGGGTAGTGAATAAATGGTCCTTTTAGCCTCATCTGTCTCTGCTATCAGAAGAAGAATGAGCCCTCTGAACCCAAGCAGCCAAGGATGATGCAGAAACCCCTACCAAGTGAACATGCAAAGACATTGTGCAATCAACCCCTGCTGATCAATAACCCCACCGCTCATGTCTCTCTTTCTCCCACTCTATCATTCTGCTCCCTCCTTTTGACCTACACACCCTGAGCCCAATTTTACAGCCTCACACTTCTCAACACACACACACACACACACACACACACACAGCTTCCATTTATTCGTCATTCTTCTCCCGCGGTCTCCTGCACGCCGGTTCAGCCGGGACCACGCTGTTAAAATTCACCTTTATCTCAACCTCTGCAAACGTGTCATGCTCTCCATCATACCCGAAGCCATCAACACATCAGCTTTCATAAACAGGCCGACTGAACCGAATTTCCATTTAGTACGCAACCAGTTGCCTGGCAAAAACTGGAGGTCAGAGGAGTAAAAAGCTTCCATCTGATAGTGCCATCAAGTGTGTTTTATTTTGCCTTGTAAATCTGTGGATTAATGTGCCCAAACGGGGGCAATTACTTGACTAATAACAAAGTAGCAGCTGGACGTTTTAGCAATAGATTGTGGCCAAAACCATTCAGACTCAATCTTTATAATAATTCATGAGCCCGTAGTGATTATGTGTCTTCATAAAATGTCCTTCAGCAAGACTTGACTTGATCAAGGCTTTTATTTTCCAATACCACAACCAGAGGTGAATATTAACAAAGTACATTCACTGAAGCATTTTTTTTCTTAAAGAAAATGTGTTATTTGCTTTATATTTACTTAACTTGGCTCAGTGGAACCCTTTGACATAACTTCGATATTTAAATTCAACACGTTTTTTAGAATTTGTGTAAAAGTACTTTTCTTATCCCCAAATTAGTATGATAATTTTTATGACTTTTACTTAAGTACTTTTGTTATCAATTTTTACCAATGTCAATTTTTGTTAAGATATTTTTACTTTTGCTTATTTTTTTCAAAATATACACCTCTGACCATTTTTGAGGAAGGTAAGAATGTTGCATGAGATACAAAAACCATTACAGTCAAGTAAAACACGTGTACTCTGTTGAAAAATGTCATGGCTTAATCCACTACCAACAAAGAATATCTAAATTTATAATCTCCCACCACAGACAATAGACAACAGAATCCTGGACTGACCTAATGTATTTGTAGTGAAAACACTCACCTTGACACTGAGTATCCTTCATGGCTGCTTCGAAACCAGCTGCACATGTACAGGCTCCTACAGGAACCATCCATTCCCCATCTCCATTGCAGTAAAGCTTCAATGGCACAGACACCTCCAATGCATTGGGAACACAAGTACCTGGGGCAATTACCAAGGAGGTTGCCTCGGCCCCCGTTGCCGTTTCTGGGAATACGGCAAAGTTGGCGATTGTGGTGGAGCACTTCTTGTAAAAAACCCTCACTGAGATGAGGGACATGCAAGCACCAAGGTCCTGAAAGGCCAGGTAAAACCCAGCTTTGGACAGCGGTCCAAAACTTCGGACCTTTGTGTTTACTCGTCCAGACTCGAGCATTGAGAAGCTCTCATCCGGGGCAATCGTGTCCACCTTCATGTAAGGATTCTCCATCCAGAACGGGCTCGTGGCCGTTGCCGAATCTGAGTCTGATTCGTAATAGAAGAGGTTGAATGTTTCTTTGCAGGAACCCGGTATGTTGGGGATGCTGTTGCAGTCACGCACTGTGAATTTCATCTCCACATACACACGTAGCACATCTTTACGTGGGATGAAGTCACTTCGTAGCCAGTTATTTTGATTGAGCTCTCGTACATTGCAGACTTGGTACGTCCGAATAGGGTTCATGACATCGTCATAGCCGCTCACCTCTTCCCACTGAATAAGAAAGCAGACAAGAGACATTAGAAATTAAAGGCACAGTGTGTAGGATTTGTTGTTTTCAGCAACATCTAGTGGTTGAGTGGTTGAATCATCCTCCCTGGTCCTCCCCCCACACCCAACCCCACCCCCACTTCCAAACGAAAAGGAGTTGCTACGGTGTCTCTCAGGTGTCAAAAACCTTTGATAATTCCAACCGAGATGTCTACCAGCAGCTTCAGRGCTAGTGATGTTTCAAGTGGTAAGATTATGAGCTTTAATAAGTAAAATTATCCCAGCTACAATGACAGACAACAAATATTACATTTATAGTATTACAAMTAAAACCGTTTTTGAYGCYGCCACCGCAGTTTGTCCTTCATGAGCCTTCATAGACAAGATGGCGGTGCAAGATGGCGGCTGCCTGTAGTGGCGACCCGCGACCATGGAGATATAAACAGCTTTTTATAAGGTAAAAATAATAAAATAAGGTCTTTTTCTGCAATGATTAGACATGTTTTTTATAATTGTCATTAGTGATTATCTCAATTTTGGCTAAAAGAATAGACAAAATCCTACACACTGTGCCTTTAAAAGTTGTGCCAGATAATATATTTTGAAGGTACTCAGTTTGATTTGTGAAACTGCAACAATCTGATTAACACTGTCTAAAATTAAATACAGAAAGTTGCAAAGCAAATAATGGGGCCTAAACACAAAACTGGAGTGTTGGTGGCCAATATTTCACCTCCACTCACTTCCTTTTTACCATAATGTGGTTTTCATATCTGATGACTGTGGCAACAAGCCAAAAACAAAAATGGCAGATTTATCACAATTACAGCAACCTGTCACCTTCTCACCACAAAACCACCACAGCACACTTACCTCATGTTTGTTTGGAAGAACCATGCTTCACAAGCAATTACATTTTAATTATTGAGCAATGACTGCAACGTCCTCTAATAAAAGCTAAGAAAAGACACCCCATGATCATCATGCTTTAAAAAAAAACCTTTACAATGTTCAATGCTCCTACAATACACAGGGAGTATTTACTCAGGAGAATAATTGTATTCAGTTTAATAAACTTTGATTACCAGATTTATTATTTTTGAACTGGGACCTGAGTTCAGATTTTGTACCACAAACATATATATGTGAGCTGGTATGACAATAAAAATCCTTGAATCCTTAAATGAAATCAGCGCAAACAAACTGTACAGAAATAATTCATTTGAAAACACTGAAATTTAACATTTTTAGTCAATATTGACTGAGAACACCATGTTGAAATAATTTAACATCAAACAGCAATAAAATATAGTTGTGGGCAAACAAGTGTGAATCTGCCATCATATCCTTTCTCTTTTTTAATTAGACAAACATTCAAGCATTTTTATTTTCTTTTTCAAGCCTAGGGAGGTTACTTGCTGGAGAAATTCCCAATATAATTACATTTCAAAACATGTAAAAAGCTTCGAAATGCATTAATGCAAACTGAAGAACTGAGAAAAATACAATGCTAGAAAACGTGCACTAAAATGAATAAAAGCTCTTAGACATGCTCTAACCCAAAGATTCTTAACATATGGGCCAAGGCCCAATTGCGGGCTGCGAGTGCCACCTTGAGGGCCTCAAAAGAACAACCGTTTTTAACTTTGGGCCGCAGAGGGCCGTGGGACCACATTGATTTTGAATAAGGTGCAATAAACTTTCTCACCACTAGCAGCAGTAGTGCGCCACTCAGATGTTTAACAACCTTTTTAATACTGTATAAGAAGAAACTTGGATACCTGCCAAAAATGAAAACTTTTTTTTAAAACATTTAATCATTTTTTATTTATTTATCTTATGCCCACAATTTTATTTTTTGAATTTTCAATTTTTGTTATTTATGTTAAAAATACATATTTTGTGTTGGTAAGCCTGAGTGGTCTGTTCTGACCTTTCTAACTGTTCAAATAATTGTTATGGGCAGGTTACAATATAAAAATGTTTGTCATAATCATGTCTTGTGATTATTTGGCAGGAGTTTTACTTTAAAAATATAAGTGTATTTAATTTAGTTATAATGTAAATACAATAAAAATTAAACCAAGATTTAGAATAATTATCCTTTTGATCCATACATTGGTAATGTCTGACTGGGCCTCGTGCCACTATATGTTCAATAAATTGGGCCCTGAGGTCAAAAAGGTTAAGAACCCCTGCTCTAACCAGTCAATACTTTGAGTGGCACCATAAGCTTTTAATTTAATGTTTTTGTTTTTATTTTTTTGTTTTTATTTTTTTATATATCTTCTATCTCTCTAAAGACCCCATTTCCCAACAGTTGTAACACCCAAGCCATGCCTGTAACAAAGCTGAATATCAGTGGTTGCGCTTTTGGGAATGAACTTTGCCACAGAATAATTGACTTTCTTTAAACTCATCTCAAAACTTGTAAATAGGCACCAATTTGTTCCTCGGAGCGTGTTGTTTCCATCCGAGCTCTGAGCATCTTAATTAAAGCTGTGATATGGATGTGATGGAGACAGGGCTATTCATCCAAGACCCTGGTGGCCATGAGGCAGAGAGAGGGAGAAAGGATGCAGTTCAGCAGTGGCATTAAAACAATAGCTAGGGAAGGAGGAAGCGACCGGAGGGAATCAATAATCRCCAGCCAGGTCAATAGGACGGCTAAAAGCATGATGTGTCAATGGGTATTTAGTTCAGTGTAATAAATCACCCTCTGCAAAAGAGCGTTGCAGTCAAATGTTTGCAAGTGTGTGTATAAAGTTTGGGTGTGTTTGTTTAAAGTGCTAGTGTGAGCGTGTCTGTCTCAGCTCGTACTTTTCAATGTGTATGTTTGAGTCTAGCTGTATGTGTGCATTTAACGAGAGCTCACCCCCCCCCCCACACACACACACCCCAAGACATGCACCAGTGGGCAAACACTCAAAGTGCCTCCTTGCTGAGCCTGAATAAATTAGGTAGGTTGTGTGTAAAAAAAAAAAAAGCCTCAACATTCTTGGCATTGATTTTCAGCAAGATGAATCGTTATGCAAAAATTGGCAATCTGCTGTATTTTCTTTGTGTCCTTTCCAATCAAAGCTTTGAATTTTACTTTCAGATTACAATGAACAATACCCAAGTAATGAACCGTTCTGCTCCTTAGAGACCCACAACACAGCTGGAAATATATGTTTTGCAACATTTTGGCCAAAAAGTGCTGTAGTAGAACAGCCAGTGATGATGTATAAAGAATACAGAGGGATAAACAGTCAAATAAATTACAGTTTTTGATTTTATTTAAACACAGTTGCTTTTTGCTGTCTGTTGGTTTCTTATGTCTGTGTTGCAATTTTACATTTTTTGTCTGCAGCTTCAGGAGAGGCAACAGCCCCCTTAGCCCAAAATAAATAAATCTAGCGAGAGCACTTACTCAAAGCAATAAGCATAACTCTGTGCAGGTAAATAATCAACCGTAACCTCTCAGTTTATTCAATCATTGGGGAATAAATGGTAGCAGCTGAAATCTACTACTTCCGATATACTTGGGTTTGACGCATCACCCATCTGGCTCATTTCTGTCAAGTTAATGTGATTTTAAAACCTGTGAGAGATTGTGCTGGTTGGGACTATAAATATGTAATGTCAGCATTTGATTGCAACCCAGTCTTTCCTATTAAAATTTAAATGTTGCATGTTTTAAAAGAGTAACACTGAGTTTAAGCGATCTTTGCATTGTTCAACATTAAATCAAGATGTCTGAAAATTGACAATAACCCAATAGGGTTGCCTTGCAATGCAGTGTTTTCTTGGAGTTTACTACACTGAGTCAAAATATTGTGCAGCTCATGCCTGGATTCAGACCTTTAGATGTTTTGTTAAGAACTAAATCTCTGATTTGTTTTGCTTTAGTGAAAATACTAATGCTTGTTATTGTGTTAAATCTTTAAAAATGGCACTTTCTGCAGTAACGTTAAGATACACAAATAACACAAAGTCTATAGACACGCACATTAGGGGTTTAGTGAGCAAGGAAGTTACATATTCAAAATTGATAATCAGTTATTACAGGCAGCAAAGAGCCGGGCCAAAGTGTGGGGATTTACTGTTGTTTTGGACATAAAGGCTCAGTGTGGCTCGCAGATAATGATGATGTCCTCCAAGACGACGCACTTTAATACACTTTCATTTTGTTAACTAAAGAACTTTATGCTGAGTATATTGTATTATTCTTTTAAAGATTTAACATTAACACTTAAAGTCTTTTGATTAATGTGCATTTCACATCTATCAGATTGTTTAAATAAGAATTGCTCTTTTCATGTGCTCTATTTTCCAGACCTCTTTTTATCTTTGGAGATTGTATACGTACATATATCAGTGTTATTCAAGTAGTGGCCTGCAGGACAATTTCTATCTGGCCTGCCAATGAGGAAGAAAAAAATCTAACTTTTACTTTTTGGAAAAAAAAAAAAATTACTTATTCAAAAATTATTAATTTGTGTCTGAGTCTTTTCAAAGTTCTCAAATTA